TTCACTCCCCCAACGTGCACACTCATTCACTCCCCCAACGTGCACACATACAGCCGTACAGCTCTCTACATCTCTGCAAAGCTAATCTGAGTAAACCCTTCAATGGAGAATAATCAGTGCATTTAGATCACATTCATACACCGATGGGACACACCAGAGACAATGATGGGTTCAGTGTCTTGCCCAGGGACACTTTGCCATATGACTGCATACTGGTGGAATCGAACCTTCAACTCTTTCACTGGAGAACGACTGCTCTAACCACTGAGCCACAGCCACTGAGAGGCATCCCCAAAATATCATCTGAGTACTAAACAATAAACTTTTAGATTTAACACAGTTTGTTTGTGTTTGATAGCAAAATATTTCATGAATTGCTGGGCAGATTTGAATAAAACTTTTAGAAAATAATGACTGTGGGTATACGTACAATTAAATAACTGTAAGAGTCATCCCAACTCACGATGGCTTCCACGACTCAAACCAATGACTGCTGTACCTCAGTCAATTTTATAGATAGAAGCTGTGAGCCACCATCAACAGATTTTAAAACACATCACGTGAAATTGACAATGTCAGATGAGATATTATGTATCGTCACACAAAGATTGACTAAAATGACAATTCCATGATTTTACAACAAAACTCGATGGTTTAAAACTTTGTTACGAACGGCGGCAGGCAATACGCATTCCTTTAAGGAACTTAATTTGGTTAATAGATTATTTATTATTCAAACACTGTAGACAAATAAAGCCTTTCGGTACAATTTTATACGTTAAAGAGCCAACGAGGTTACAAATCAATAAAACAAGGCACACAAATCAAGCTGTCTAACAAACAGCATATCAGTGCCACTCAATAAAATACTGTATATTTAAATATAACTTTCATGTAAAATATCAAAACACTCACCTGAATGAATAATAAACAATGTTGACATATTGTTACAAATAATGAGCAATGTTCATTACTTAATACAACCAAAAAACAGACAATATGAAGTCCATTACACACATGACACACCAGCTGTGGGTTCTGATTTCAGCTTATTTTATACACAAATATAGCTAAATATTTTGTTAATAAGTATAAAGAAATCACCACCTTCAGATACAGTTCATGTCATTTTGTAGTTCTATTGTACTTTATGGAGAATCCATACAGTAATACATCCCAAATATCTTGTGCTTCTTAGAGAACTTGTAGCAGTCAGCTGCAGGTTGAATACATTGGAGAATAAACAAAAAGTCACAGCAGGTTTAGACTTTAAATATCTGCATAACAATGTGGTTTCTGCAGCTGAGGTACAGAAATAAAAAGTTTTAAGTGGAAAAAGTTGTTTATTTTAAAGCGATAAAGTATAATTCTCTGTTCTTGCACTACATGTAAAACAACAGTAGGGCATAAAGCATATTATATGTTCGTCAACAAACTATTATACATCAATCTATAGCAATGGTCTGGACAAGCAAAACCTTGTTTACCATTTGACCTTGATTTGTGACCTTGACTTTGGAGCTGGAGCGATGAAAAATACACGTGACATTCTGTCAAGTGATGATGCACAAGTGCATCAACTTTTCTTTAATTATCTATTGTGGATCTGAAGTTACGGGCAGAACCATTTGCTGTTCCAACTCCACTGAACTGTTCTGCTTAATCAGAAAAACAAGACCATTTGGACTTAAATGGACATTGACATAAGTGACTTTAGGTGGACTTTTCTTTACATTTGCACAAACATATACACACAGACATACACTCCAGGGTTGATGTGGAAAAACGGCAAAGGCTGTTTCAGTCAATGTTCTTCTCTTTGGTGTTTTTTTTAAAGTGGGCAGAAGCGTCCACCTAAAGTGCTCTATTTGGTACAGTAAGTCTGTCATGGTTCTAAATAAACTTGAATGTCTTTTTTTAATGTGGCCAGTTTCAAATGAGGTTGAAACTCCAAACAATCAAGTTTTACCACCAGCCAATGACGCCACACCTGAAATCCATTATGCCATCATCTTCAGGGTTCATTAATGAAACATGCCAAGTGAATCAGTATTAGTATACGCCTCATTTCTGGACACAAACTAGTCCCTCCTTCTCAGTTCTGCAGGTTGTTTGGGACCTCTGTTGCTACAGAGTCTTTCGAGTGGTCTCAGCAGCTCATCCTCTCTGGGTCGGTACGGCACCACATAGCTGTCCTCCTCCAGCAGGATGCGGTTTAACGTGTTCTCATAGTTAATATGGCGCCGCACCATCAGTATGTACTGTTTCCCTACCTCCAGGTTTGGGCAGTCACACAGATTTGGGACCCACAGGAACTCCCGATGCTCCAGGCGAAAGCGGTTTCGATATGTGTGGATGATCTGGACATCGTATCGAGTCTCCTCACCTCTGTATAGCTTCCCAAAAACTCTAGCCCGAAACACTAAAAATACATAATGGGTTAGTATGTTGTAACAAATTACCAAGGTATAAAAGGTTAAAGAAGCACTTTTATTATTTTTTTTTTTTTTTACTTGATTTATGAACTTAGAATGATCTCAATTTAAACAATCACAGAAAAATTCTCATGAACGAGTCAAGCCCTCAACTACTCAGAGTGGGTCTTAATTGAGAGCAAATTTCTAAGACAAATCAAACCTGTTGTTGTTTTCATAATTTAAGCAAATGCTGTATTTTTACTTCTTACTTTGAGCGAGACGGTCATTTAGGTTTGTCCCCACATGACTGACTGAATAACGTTCATGTTGTGTAGCTAACTGATCGGTTTCTGCTAAAATGCCTTACAGCTGAACATCTGAGTCTGTCAGGGGTTTTATTGTCTTTTAATGTCAAGGTGGGTTCTGGTGGAGGACAGAGGTTTTTTGGCTAACAGCTCTAAGTCAGCTCCTAAGAGCTGGTTTTGAGCTGGCTCAACTAAAAACCATTAAAGCTATTATTAGTAGACAGTTAAAGATCGTCAGTCATCTGTTGCTGAGTTTCCAGAGTCATCAGTTCCTAAGTCTCAGAGTCTTGAGTCCCCAGAGCCTCCATAGCCTCTACGCCTCAGGCCTACAGGGTTCTCATGCACTTGACCACCAGGGTCTTTGCAACTCAGTTCTCTTGGGCATCATGCCTTCCTCCTTGTGTGAGAGGTTTGAAGATGACACATTTCCCACTCCTGGGCCATGCATGAGCTGTCTCACTGGTCTGTACTGTTCCCAGGCTGGCCACACAACTTCAGTTGTCAGTCTGGACGGTTTCCAAGCCGACCACTCGAGTCTTGTCCCCAGTATAGACCATCCACCCAAACCATGTTTCCTGTGTGGGCAAACCCTGGGCTGTCCACCTGAATTTTGTCTCCTGCCTGGATGCGACTCACTCCCTCCTCCAGATCTGTCTCCTGCCTGGACATGCCTTGGTCTGTCCACCAGAGCTCTTTGTATTGGACTGTTTTTGCCCCAGACTTTGATGCTCCAGTGGATTTTTGTTTATTGTATTCTTATGATTTGTGTTATTCCTCTGTCCATGTCCCCCTCCTCTCTCTTGTCAGAGTAATATCTTTTTGCTTTGGGACATCGCCCCTTAGAGACAGGGCACTGTCAGGATTGGAATCAATTCACTTTTCCTCAGTCAGTTCCTGCTCCTCAGCTCCTGCTCCACCCTCTCACACCTGTTCCTAGATGCCGAGGTGTTTCCACTCCGCTCATTATGACCCTGTTCATAAAGTCCTTCAGCTTTCAGCTCACATTCAGTCTGGCATTTTATGTGCTTCATGCCACGTCCAGTCTTGAGTTTTGTTTGTTTGTATCTAGTTGCTGCCACACCAGACTTTTTTTTCTGGGTCCAGCTCCTACAAACTGTGACATGAGCTGCTTTTAGAATTCAGAAATCCACTTTCATACGAATCCTGCTCTGAACAGGTGGTAGCTTGACTCTTCTAGTCCCTGTTTCTCTACACAAAGATCCCCCTCGACTGCTGTCTATCGAGGTAAGACTTTGATGCCTTGAAAGCATCTTACACAAACCTCGTTAAAAACCTTTAAAGTTCAACCTTACCGAAGTCCTTTAGGCAGTACTGTTTCTGACGTTCCCTTCGACCTTTAACTCGCCGACATTTTCCACAGTGTCCTGAGTGACAAACCAAGAACTAAGTTAAAAAGAATAAGCCTGCGATAAAACAAGTTTTATTGGAACACATTAATGTTTTTCTGTCTTTTTACATGTAGTACATTTTCAAATTGTACTATTGAATAAATAATCATTTTAATGTAATACAATTCTAAAAGAAGCTGAAATCAGTTCAATACAAGTTTCAATAAATGTATTTTTGTGTCTTCATAACTGACAGTACAGTGTGCTGGAGCTCCGTGTCATGATGCACCACATTTAGCTGAATATGTTGGTTTTTATACTGTTGAATGTTTGATAAAGTAAAGTAAGTAGAAATTTCTATACTGCACCACAAGTTAAATAAATTGTACCCATAATGCCTGAACACTGAAGTCAAAGTGTCAGAGTGTCACGAGTAGCTGAGATGTTGTGATGAACATACTTCCAGGTGAGGCCTGAGGGAGGAGGTTTTTGTGGTTTTCCTGCCGCCCCAGACGAGCCGTGGGCTGTCGAGGAGGCTGCTGGTGACTGTGGTGAAGAGGCTGCCGTGGGTTCTTTAAAAGTTTTAAAACTAGAAGATAAAAACGAACAAATATATTTAATAAAGTGTCAACATCAACTACTTTATATACAATATGTATAGAGTTTAAAAAAATGCTGAACACAAGGAATATACAGTAATGATCATGAAGGTGCAGCTGATATGAAGTGTCACAAGAGACTGGACATGGTGCATGGGCCACATGTGACCCTTCATTCTATGGTCCGTGGAGG